CCCCAGTGGGGGTGTTCGCATGCGGTTCCCCCACCCAGGGCAGCGTTTCGTAGCCCCATAGGGAGCTCCACCGAAGGCCCCAGTGGGGGTGTCCACATGCGGTTCCCCCACCCAGGGCAGCGTTTCGTAGCCCCATAGGGAGCTCCACCGTAGGCCCCAGTGGGGGTGCCCTCATGCGGTTCCCCCACCCAGGGCAGCGTTTCGTAGCCCCAGAGGGAGCTCCACCGTAGGCCCCAGTGGGGGTGCCCGCATGCGGTTCCCCCACCCAGGGCAGCGTTTCGTGGCCCCACAGGGAGCTCCACCGAAGGCCCCAGTGGGGCTGCCTGCATGCGGTTCCCCAACCCAGGGCAGCGTTTCGTAGCCCCATAGGGAGCTCCACCGAAGGCCCCAGTGGGGGGTTTTCGCATGCGTCTCCACTACCCGGAGGTAGCGCCGCCGAAAGCGATATTCACACTTGCGGTATTCACAGTTGCATATGGTTGGGTCCTTCGCCAGGCTAATTTAACGACTCGAGGGGATCTGGGATCCCTGACTCTCCGCCTTCCACTCGGCCGTCCCTGACTCTCCACTATCGCGCTGGACCCCCCTCCCTGGCGCGCGATGGCCGGCCAGAAGGCGGCGCCGCAGGCACCGCCAGGGTGTCCAGCGCCGATCCAAGAAATCCGCGCGGAGCTCCGAAAGTTTCTGCTGATGCCACTTTCTGTCCCTCGAGAAGATCACATTATCAGACACCGGCTGGTCGGAAGGTGCGGAAGGTGAAGAGTCAAAAAAATTCGGGATACTTCCGCAAAAGCATAGCGGAAACAGCGAGGGCTAAGTAGGGCGGAACGCGCCAGCAGAGGAACTTTTCGAACGTAGGGGGGAAAGATCTGCCTGCTCACGAAGTCGCCCAGCAAGTGTGGCGGCAGATCCCAAGTCTGGAGAGGGTCGGGGGCAAAGCATTCCGATCCGGGGAGGTGGCGGGACAGAATTCTGGCGCTCCAGTTTTTCAATGCGTGGACCCCTGGAGGTCTACACGAGGTCAAATTTAACCTCCCAAGGGAAGCCGGGGAGAGGCGGCATCGCTGGATCGCCAGATCGCCGAATCGCCGGAACGCCAGACCAGATCGCCGTATCGCCAGATCGCCAGGTCGCCGGATCGCCGACTAGCTGGATCGCCGGATGGATGGATGACCGGTGGCAAGATCGCCGGATTGTCAGGTCGCCAAATCGCCGAATCGCCGGCCTCGTGAAGTTTGTTCTGGTCTGGACAGCTGCCCTATAGGGCCGGCTTTTCGCCCCGAGTCGTTTTTCGGCGGTCCCCGGGCCCGCGGAGGCCCCCCCCACAGGCCGAGAGTGGGCAGACACCGGCCGCTCCACTGTCTCTGGAGCCTCGGAGCTCTGGGGGGCCATCGTTGCCCCCCGACGGCCAGCGCCGCCCCCACGACTCCCGACGGCTCAATTTGGGTTCTGACTCCTCCGCCTCCTTCTCCCCCTCCTCCTCCTCCTCCTCCTCCTCCTCCTCCTCCTCCTCCTCCTCCTCCTCCAACTCCTCCACCTCCTCCGCCTCCGCCGCCTGCTCCTCCTCCTCCTCCTCCTCCTCCTCCTCCTCCTCCCCCTCTTTTTCCTATTAGCACTATTACTATTCGTATGAGTAGTATTCTTAATATTATTGTTACTACTATTAGTGTTCATACTCATCGTGCCATTATGATCCGTCTTCTTCTGGTCATAATAATAAAAAATAATACGAACACAAATAATAAGTATTACTATAATAATAAGAATAGAAATAATAATAATACTACTAATAGTCGTAATAATAACTACTAATAGTAATAATAATAGTAGTAATAGTAATAATCATAATAAGCATACTAATAAAAACTATTACTATTATTATTGAACATAATAGTAGTAGCAATAAGGATGATACTAATAATACTAATTAAAAAACTAATAATTATGATAACAATGATAAGCCTGATGGTCGTAATAACAGCAATGCTAATAGTAATCGTAATAAAAAATAGTAATACGAATAGTAAGATTCATCATTATCACCATCAGCATCATCATCATCATCACCACCATCATCATCACCATCACCTTATCATCATTATCATAATCATCATCATCATCATCAGCAGCATCACCATCATCATCATCATCATCATCATCATCATCATTGTCATCATCATTGTCATCATCATCATCATCATCATCATCATCATCATCATCATCATCACCATCACCATCATCGTCATCATTATCATTATCATCACCATTATAATGATAACAATACCTATACGACCACCCTGCGGGTGATAATAAGGTTGGGGGGGAGGGGGGCCAGCAATGGGCAACAGTGGTGATTGTTGTGTTGCCGCTCGCTCGTGGGACCATCGATCCCACTATCGATCTCATTCGATCGATCTCACTATCGATCTCACTCGATCGATTTCACTGTCGATCTCACTCTGGATCTCGCTATCGATCCGACTACCGATCTCCCTATCGGTATCACTCGAACTCACAATCGATATCACTATTCATCTCACTATCGATCTCACTATCGATCTCACGATCGATCTCACGGTCGGTTTCACTATCGATCTCACAATCGATCTCACAATCGATTTCGTCATCGGTCTTACCATCGTTTTCGCACCAGCGGGACACCGGCGGGAAACCGGCGGGACACCGCGGGCCACCGCTTGCCGGAGAATCATTTGGTCCGGCCGGAACCCAGCCACAAGCGGGACACCGGCGGGACACCGGCGGAACGCCGCAGGCCACCGCTTGCCGGAGGGAGAATCATTTGGTCCGGCCGCGCCTCAGCCACAGGAGACTTTCCCTTCGCCCGCCCACGCAGCTTCGCCTCGCCCGCACGCACGGCACGCACGAAAACGAAACCGAAACCGATTTCCCGGTGGGGGGCTCTCCATTCCACTTTGATCTCACCCCCCAACCTCCGAAAATAATAACCATAAACGTAATGATGTCAACCATAATGCTATGGTTAATGGTCTGATTCGTATTAGTAGTAGGTAGTCGACTTATTAGTACTAGTATGATCCGTATTCGTGATACTAGTAGTAGGAAGAGCACGAGTGCAACTATTAATATTAGTATTCGTAGTCTTCTGAGTCTGCATATTATCATAATTCCTCCTCCTCCTCCTCCTCCTCCTCCTCCTCCTTCGCCTCCGCCTCCGCCTCCGCCTCTGCCTCCGCCTCCGCCTCCACCTCCTCCTCCTCCTGCTCATCCTTCTCCTGCTCCCCCCTCTCCGCCTCCTCCTCCTTCTCCTCCTCTTTCTCCTCCTCCTCCTCCGCCTCCTCCCTCCTCCCAACCTCCCACCTCCCTCATCGCTGCTTCCTCCTCCCTGCTTCCTCCTCCCTCCTCCCTCCCCCTTCTTCCTCCTCCCCCTCCTCATGCCTCCTCCTCCTCTCTCCTCCTCATCCTCCCTCATCCCTCCTCCCTCCTCCGCCTCCTCCTCCTCTCCTCCTCCTCCTCTTTCTCGTCCTCCTCCTCCTCATCATCACATCAGCATCAGCAACAGCATCAGCATCAGCAAAAGCATCATCATCATCATCATCATCATCATCATCAACATCATCATCATCATCATCATCATCATCCAACTCATCCTCATCATCATCATCCTCATCATCCTCATCCTCATCCTCAGCATCATCAGCATCATCCTCATCCTCATCCTCCTCATCCTCATCCTCATCCTCAGCATCATCTCATCCTCATCCTCAGCATCATCCTGATCATCATCATCAGCAGCATCAGCATCAACACAACAACATCATCATCATCATCATCATCATCATCATCATCATCAGCATCATCATCATCATCATCCATCATCAGCATCAACATCATCATCATCATCATCATCATCATCATCATCATCATCATCATCATCATCATCATCATCATCATCAACTCATCATCATCATATCCAACTCCTCCTTCCCTCTTCCTCGCTCCTCCT